ACCAGAAACACCTTTTGGTACCAGAAACACCCCTGGGACGTGTCTTTAAGCCTAACTTTGTACCAGATGTGAGGGTTTAACCTTACCTTCTTATAACAATGTTATAAGGATATTATTTTAGCAAGGATCTGTTTATTTTCAGTAAAATATTCTTCCAGTGCAAAGAGAATGGACACACAAAAGTGACTCGTAGTCAGTGATTTTTGATTTAATCCATAAATAAATGCGATCATTTATTTTACATAATCACACATAATCACTACAGTACACTTGTGAGCAATCCATTTCCTATAAAAGTTAATAACCAACAATAACAAGCACTCTGAGCTTTGTTAATTGTCAATCAGACACTTAAATAGAACACAAACATCAAGCTTTGATGTTTAATACCAGACATTTGAGGCAAATAACAGGTTTGGGAAGGTAGGTTTAAAGAAGAGGAAAGTAAGGTGTTATCTTTCCTAAGTTTTAACTTAAATAATGAGGGTTAACCAGACATTCCTTTGCTCAGCCTTCAGCCAGACACCTTTAAAGATGAGGTCAGTCACCTGTCCAGGTATTTGGTCTTAGAAAGTCCACTAGGGGACCGTCCACACAGCTGGACCCTTGGGCTTGTTTTCCAGTACTTGCCTGTGTCGCATCAAGCCGTAGGAAGAAGGCGAAGCCAAAAACTGGATCCCAATTTCAAAACAAAACTTCAGACGGGAAGATTTTAAAACAAGTTGGATAGACCGGGCGGTGATCGTATCCGGGCTGGGCGGCTTCCCCGTTGGCGATGAAGGGAGAACCGACACAGCTTAGCTCTAGTTCTCTGGAGAGAGCCCAGCTGAGAGACCGTCCAGCTTCACAGACGGGCGGTCTTCACAGACGGGTGGTCCGTCACTTTCTGCCTCCCGGGCGGAAAGTGAAAGTGAAACCTAACTGTCTGCTGAGCTCCTAACTCTCACTCAGTGAAGCTCTTTTCAGATTCAAAATACCTTTGAGGAAATGTATTTTCAGATGCCAAGTAAACTGCATCGTAGCGTGTGTGCGAACACCCCCCCTCCCCACCCCTAAATGGACGAGACAGAAGCAGAAGGAGGTTCTTAAAGAGACAGAGGCCAATTTCAAGGCGTTTAGAAGAGGAAGTGATGAGAAGACAAGTTTATTTTCTATTTAAACATAAAAACAGCATTTTAATAACAACTAAAGGTGACATAGATACTTTATTATGGTATAGTATTTAAATATATGTCTGAGAAACACATAATATTGGCCTTTAAAAAATACATCAGAGCAAATTGGCAAAACGAGTTGCTTTTTAATATAAGTTTAAGACAAACAAAAATAATATATCACATTTACAGAGCTAAAACACTCCAACGGGGAAACAAAAGTAAGACAATTTCTGAAATTAACTACTTAATTCACTATTGTTAGATTTATTTGACGTACTGACTGTGTCTTAGTTCAGGTGATGCATGAATGTGTGCATCTGTCAGCTGCTGACGTCCCAAAGCTGTGGGGTCTTTTTCACGGGGCTGACAAATGCCGCCCCTAAAATCCCAAATATCTGAGCATCTGAGTATCCGTCCTGGCTGAGGATTTCCCAGGATTCATTGTGCCGCCAGAAAACTAAACAGAAAAACTAAAAAGCAAAGTTTTTTTAAACCAAGTCAGCATAGTTTGGAAATTCATCTTAGACTGAAAAATGCTTTTTTCAGGGTTCCTACAGCTTAAGACAAGTTAAATTTAAGACTTTTTAAGACCTCTTTAATGCCACTTGAAATGAAATTTAAGACCCAATTCACAATAAATACAAATGCAGAAAAAAAAATGTTGATGACAATTTAACCAAATATTTATTTTAAAACTGAACAACTAGCTCGATAAATTATTTAAATAAACAATAACATATATGTTACCGATTATTTTAATATTTGAGACAATTTACAATCATCCTACTTAGTATGTTAACATTTTTAAGACCTCTGAAAGATTGATTTAAGACATTTTAAGGATCTGTGGGAACCCTGTTTTTAATGTACTTTTAACAACTGAGATGTTAAATGTCGTTCAACTACAAGTACTGATACGAGTGCTAAACACAAATTCTTTACATTTTTTTATTTGTTTACGTGTGACGTTTTTAACTATGAAGTTAATCCTCTAGCCCAGGGGTCTGCAACCTTTATGATCAAAAAAACTGTTTCTGCTCCTCGTCTCTCTAAAACAATGTCTCCAGAGCCGCAAAACAAGCTACAGCTGTGATTATCAACTGGTGGTCCATGGGCCTTTCCAGGCCTTTTTGAGAACCTTTACGATCGGTGGAGGTGACATTACAAAACTAAAAAATGTTATAATTATTATATATTTTTTATTATACACATCAGAACAAATAAAGACTATTTATGTAAACAAGAAAAACACCGTACATAGTTTAAACTGAATTTCATAAACACAACTGAATTATTCAGGTACTTTTTCCTAATTCTTATTATTTTGCTGTCTTCAAATTATTTAAAGGTGATTCTGATAGATTTGAGAGAAAGATCATAGAAAGAAGTTGGAATATTTAAGTAAACAACAGGCTAGCATGAGCTAACAGGTTTTACTCTTTCTATAAGTAGTACTGATCACATGTTTGCATACAAACTGATTTCTGTTGTGGGTATAAAAACAAAACAAAAAAAATATTGTTATATTTGGTAATATTTTCAAAGAGCCCCTAGAGGGGCCAAGGAGCCACATGTGGCCCCAGAGCTGCAGGTTGCAGACCCCTGCTCTAGTTAAAAGACATGTTAATACATGTCCCAGCACATTTTAAGTCCCAAAGCCCTTGATATTAAACATACATAGTAACGGGGAAGTGCGTGGTCATGCAAACCTACGTCATGTGAAGCCAGAACGTCGTCTCATTTCACAAGTATTTTAATCAGTCTACCCAGACTGAACTGTGGTCTAGGTAAGCTGCAGCCCCTGATTTGAGACACAGCCACTCTGCCCCTCAGTAAAAAGACAAGCAGTGACTGCAGTTCATCAACCAACACTCAGCAACTACAGCACAGTGTGAGTCGCTCCACTCCTCTGGTTCAAGCACCGTCTCAGCTCTGCATCACAGACCTCCGTTCTCCTCCAGCTTCTGGAACAGAGCCAGGCTGCGCAGACGAGACTGCCTCTCCCCGTTCTTCCACAGAATCAACAGGTGGTCCGTAGAACAGGTTACCAAACCTCTCTCCTCGAAGCTGATAAACATCTGACAGAAGCACAAAAAAAGACAGTTGGAGCACAACAAAGGTAGCTATAATGATTACATGAAAAAGGAAAGCAGTGGCAGGGTGACTGCCTGTTTCATTTGTCTTCATGTGTCTCTCTGATGGACTCTGCAAACTGTCCACAGTGTACTCACCTCTGGCACAGTGACTGTTGGACGTTGTCACCAGTGACTCGTAAAGGAAAAACAGATGAAGAAAATGGATGAAAGAACTGAAGGAAAGTAGCATTCTTTGATCAGAGGATTCTGATGTTATCAGAATGGCTTCAGAGGGTCCTTACTGTGCCTTCTAGGCTTCAGACTGTCCCGACAGTGCACCCTAGTGGGTTAATATATTAATGACAATGAGTGTGTAAATAACCAAAAGATATTTTAATAAACTTTGTGTCTGTGTCGGTCTCGAACCCTGGACTCTCGCTCTCTGATCCAACACTCTACCAATTGCCCTTTTGGAAGGCCACAATATACAACTGTTGGAGGGCGATGTCTTTAGCACTGACCATGTCATTTGTTCTAAAGTTAACCTTAGTGGTTTTATGTCTCATATTAACCAGATAGTAGTTTTATACCTCATATTAACCAGATAGTAGTTTTATGCCTCATATTAACCAGATAGTAGTTTTATGCCTCATATTAACCAGATAGTAGTTTTATGCCTCAT